TAAACACTGGGTTGATGTTATCTTCTTGTTCCAAATTAAAGCTGGAAAAAAATGTAATGAATGATTGAGTATAATAACAGAGTAAGAAGGTTTAGATATCCTTCAAGGATCAAAGTTTACACGAGTAAATGAGAAAAGATTCTAGTAATATCGCACTGTTTTAGTGTGAGTTTCTATAAGTTCATAAACTGGCTTTTGATTAAAGTACATAACCCCTTTGTAATATGAGTTCTCACACGTTTTGATGTACTAAAAAAAATTGGTCTGACAGAACTACCCTAATCTCATTTCAGCTTATACGATGGTCAAGTCCTAATACTCGTATTGAGGCACTTTAACGTTGCTTGCCTTGGTTTTACAGTAATCAGTCTTATTTACTAAATCCGCCTAAATATTTATGAAATAAAATGAACCAATTCCTCCCACTATTTATGTTAAGTCCACATAGCCTCCTATTGTCTTAGTAAGGCTGTAGTGAACAAGGGCACCAGTGGCGGAAAATCGGAAATTACAGTTGTTAATAAAATCTAACAACCATATAGTAAATGCTCAATTTGCAAAATGACTATCAATTGTTTCAAAATGACTCAGACTTCATTGTTCTTGCATTTTCATACGAATTGCATTCTATTTCCATTCTTTACTGCTTGATCCTCTTGTCTCTGCTGCTAGACATTCTGTTCCTGAGTAACGTCATATACTACTTATGTCAATATAAGTAGCACACACCTCAAGACTACTACCTGTTTGCATGATGTAAAATACAACAATGTTCCTCCTAATTACAAACCGATTGAGTGACTATACGTTTTCAACATTAAGGTGACATGACATTTCTTCGAGTAACACATCTACGCCATTGCTGTATGCTGTTTTTGACTTGTATCAAAAATGCTACTAGATGCATGGTTACTAATGGATGATAGAATCTAGATTCTTGGCTCATAGTATTTCATAAAGTCTGATTTTTCGTCTACTATTAAAGGTCCAGTTAATATCGATGATCAATAAATAAAGGTAGTCAAAGGATGCCACTTCATTGGTAAGTTTGCTGATGTATTTCTTTTCAGTTTAGGAGTTTCAAACTTTTCTCTCTTTTTACTCTTAAGGTTCGTATTACGCTTTCCAAACACACTGTACTCGTAGACGTGAAGTTATTATGGCCGGTCAGTTAAGCGGATATTGGTTTTCCCGTATCACTGGAGTTCCGCCGAACTTGGTATGTTTCGGAAAGTAAAATTAACCGTCACTTGCTAAGGAAATCACATTTAGCATTAAGTCTCATCGTGACTATGTTAACTTAGGACCGTTGAAATCTCAGTAACTGGGAACCAATCTATCAATAAAGAGTAGTAGACTTTAAATCGAATCGATTCCTAGTCGTACAAACTGTCCATTTCGTGATAACTGTTTGCTTTCATGTATCTAGATATTTTTGATGCTTCCGATGTGTGCGTAAAATGTAGTGTTAGAGGGATTTGGTTTTACAAAAAACATGATGTACATTGTGATACAGAACATTTGTAGCTCAGAATGAGAATTTTGGTGTTTTGTTCTTTGAACTGGATGGTTTAGTCAACAGGTAAGTGATGAACAACTGATAAACGACAGTCCAAATTAGAGGTGAGGACTTTCCATGTGATCATACAAACAATCGACGTATATTTATAGACAAGATTTAACCAAATTCCAAATCAACGGAATAAGTTGTTAGTGAATTGTGCAAAAGTCTAATAGCTCTCTTCCTCTTGGAATATGTACTGATGATATTTAAAAGGAAAGTGAAGGCTTCATAATCAAACCACTCAGTTCAGAGAACAAATCACTTACAAGATCTACAAAGTGAATGTACAGGAGAAATATGCAACATGACACATGTACAACGTTCCAACCAAATACTCATTAACCTTACAAAAACCAGTTAATAGTTTTTTTATACTCTTTCGTATATGCTTATTTATTTATTTAAACACATAAATATTGGTACAAAGGAGCACTGAATACAAATGCGCCACACAGGTCACTTGACTAGTCTGTGGGCTATGATACTTCCTGGGTGCCCAAACCGAAGCAGATGGTTTTCTTGGGGGGCCACACCTGGAACCTTTGACCTAAAGGTCTGATCCGCAAGGCAGTGGAGTAACGTCAGGAGATATAGTCCCATGGTAGCCAGTAACCAATAACTGGTTCATATTCCATTTGTTCCTTCAGGATCCTGGAGTCCACCTTTGGTTTGGAGTCGGTTTTCCAACCCCCAAGTGGACTCTCCGTGTCCACCGACCCGGTTAAAGAGCCGGACATTCTCTTTTCGTCCTCTCAATTTCATAAACAAAAGCGGTGTCGCGAGAAGGAAGTGGCTGTATACGCGTGGCCATGTGAGAGCATTTCAAGAGGGAGAGTTTAACTAAATATGAACATTGATATAGATCACCAGGTTACTTGAAATATTTAATCAAATGAAACAGTTAAGATATAGCGTTGTTGAGTAACTTCGTGTTATGATGTACTATTACAAAGTTTATGCCCCCTTTCTTATAGTTTGTGGAATTATGAAGATAGCAGAACCATATGACTATTTCAGGTAAAGTGATATACTTCTAAGAAAGCAGAGTGGGAGTTCTGAACTAACCTAAATTTCTGGGAATCTCTGCAGTGCTATTATTGTAACTCTTCTTAGCTTGAGGAACATAACTAAAACTCCAATTCAAGTTTTTGTTAAACCGTTTAAAAAGTGAGCTGCGTCGATACTATGAATCTTATTTTATCCATTGGCATTCATGACTCTACTGTAGGCTATTTTTTATTCTTTGGGTCCTTATACGATAACTAACATTAGTAAAAGCTCAAATGTTCCGTCGAAATAATTCGTGTTCTTTTTTTCTTCAGATTTTACCCAAAAATCATGTAGTGAAAACCCTACAGACAATTTCGAATTGCAATTGGCATGGTATAGAAAATGGTACTATAGGTGCAATTAACGGTTGTCGTCCAGTCTGTAAACCTGACCTTAGTAGTATTCAGGCAGAAGAATTCTGGGTCGGTGTGAACTATTCACTTTCTGCTCTTATGATAGCCGAGGTATGGACCGGCTTAATAGTTGTTATTTCAAAAATTTGTTTCCTCGTTAATCTTTAGTATGTTACGTTGCATTGATGAATTCTCATTACTTCTAGTTCATATCAAAGTCATGAGAAACCTTTGATGTATAAATCACACTATTTCCTACCTTGATTAGTCAGTTGAGTAAGATCTTTGTGTACCACACAATTTTATCATTTGGTTCTTAAAGTTCATTGACGTATTGTTTGAATATAATAGTCAAAATTCATAATTGAATCTACCTAGTGGACATTCAGTTGTTTCATAATATAGAGTAAGTTAACTTCTTTATACAAATCTATCATTAAGTGGGAAGACTGATCCTTTTTAATCTAGCTACTTATCCACCTTCCTCTATTTGAATATATTTACGTGCATGCTGTACTTTTTTTACAATGAATACTATAGTATTGATGACAAAGATATTTCTTCGCTAGTTGACTTGCTAATCTTTCGTCAAGAGTGTTTTAAAGTCGATTTTTGAAAGTTAGTTTCGAAAATTAATGACAAGTATGTCTTATTACAGGAGCATTCGCAATTATTGTAGTCTTTGTATACAATGATAATAATTTTGTACTATGACACTACGGGGGATGTGTTTATTTCATATGCTTGTAAGCAATATAAAAAATTAACGCCTTCAGTTTATTCAGTATTGTTGGTTAGACAAATTCAATTTTCCAGATGCATTTTAACCAATTAAATGTATTAACCATATGCCTTTGGTGCTTATCTACATGTTAACAATATCCTACTCACCATATCGTAATCTCTATAATAGGATTTCATGTAGTTGTAGAGTGCTAGCGATATAATTAAAGAGCTTGAATTTCAGCCAGTAGGCGACAGATTCGAACCCCATTTCAGCTATAGTGATTTAAGCGACTAATTAGTATCACTAGCCCTTTACACAACAAAATACATGGTAAAATTTATGTGCTTGTTAAATGAGCTGCACTTCAATAGAATCCAAGTAAAGAACAGAAATATATCGTAAAAAGGACACATGAGGTCGGAGAATGTTAAGCATCGAGTGATATGACGTACGAAATGTAGAGAAAGATAAGAAACGAATGTATCTGCGACTGCTTTAACCCAGTATATACAACTACAGATCAAACTTTATCCTGCTACTGTACTTCTGGAAATGTCCATCTGCCGACACCGCTCGTTCCGACAGTCTTGAAGTTATGTCGAGAAAAGCGAACTGTTTATCATCCTTACATTTATGTACGTGAAGTCAGCCTAAAGTTGTTTAGTAATCATTTTACTTTTTTTTCTGTGTTAGGGAATGATTAACGAGGGATTGGCTCTCGGCGAAAAATGCTACAACACTATTTACAATCTTTACGGATTGCAATACCAAACACCTGAAGCATACATGTCCGATGGTCGTTTTCGTTGTCCTGGATATATGCGTGCATTGGCTATTTGGAGTATTCAACAGGCATTAGAATTCACCAACATATACAAATACTCAGATGCTTCAAAATTTAGTGCTACATTTACAGACATTTAGGCTTGAAATAGTAAAGATAATTCAATAAGCAAACAATTGTACCTAAATTTATACTGTAAGCCATACTGATCCTTTGTTAACTTGTTTGTTACATTTCGAGTACTTTATTTTTTATGATTACTCTGCTCCTACATTAGGGAAAAATGGATCGTTATAGTTATTTTACTTTTTTTTCTTTTATATATAGTTATGGAGATTTATCTAAGTAACTTTCTTCAAATCCTGCTTTTTTCTATATTCTGTCGAGAACAATTTCGATAACTTTTCTATTTTAAAATTTATAGCGTAAAGGTAAAACATTTATTTTATTTACTAAGTATTACATTTCCATATATATATATATATATATATATATATATATATATATATATATATATGCTTTTCCAGATTGTTTTCGTAGACAAAGCCTTCATTGTCAATAAGGTGTTTATTTTGTGTGTTAATCAAGAAAATAATTATTCCAAGTATATTAACTGAATGTGATCGGTTATTGGCTAATAAACAGAGCGTTACTAGCAAAACTTAGGGAGCTGTTCCTAACAACTAGTTGTAACAAGAATAACTGTATTATATATATATATATTTTTAATGTAATTTGGACTTGTGTTAGTGGCGGAGTTCATTCCAGCAACAACATCGTGATGATGATTTAACTGTATTTGCTCTCGTAAAGAATAACTCGTACAAAACATTGCTTTGCTCATTGTATTCCGTTGAAACAGGTGAGCATTACTGTAACTGTTTGATATACTCTTCCGAATTTATCTAGTTCCTGGAAGAGTATTCATTTTCGTGAGTCTGTAACTGCAACTTTGATTATATACTGTTGTGTTCTTTTTTAACAATGAGAGCTTTTCCATCATGGTAAACTCTCAGACCGAATGTACGCTGTACTCAAGACCAGACTCAACGTTTTATTGTCCTTCACGGAGCTTTGTCTTTTAAAATCCTTTTAAAACTAGATACGCATTCAAGTGAGAAACAGTATAGGAACTCAGGGAGGAAGCAGTCCCTCTTACTTTTCCTAGGACCTTGAAGTGACCTACTAGTGCTATAATAACTTAAGTCAGATAATCATGGAAGGATAGTTGCATGCTCTAAATTGCTGTCAACAAAAATGTAGAAACTTATTGCGAATTTCGTTCCGTCGGGCTGCTATTTAGATAATGGGAACCAGGTTCAAATTTCAAAATAATAAATTTAAGTAAACAATTGTGAGAACTTATTCGTACTCGTGCTTCTTATGTGTTGAGTGCTTAATTACTGAATAAAAATTAGATTTCTTATTAATAGAAGGCAATTTAATCATTCTTCACGTATTAATCTATCTTCGTCATTTTTTGGCCCTACGTATATAAACAACATAGTATTACACGGAGATGCTAACAAGAGTTTTTCAGCTAAAAACAGTCAGTAAAGTCGGCAAGTGTCTTTGGAAACTGTTACGAATCAAACAAGATGTTTGAATTTAGGTGGTATATGTATGTGGCAACTATTTGATCACAAAACTCGAGGCATCTGTCCCCTGTATATCTCCCGAGTGAGTAATCTATAAGTAGGGGGTCAGTTGTTAGGCAGAATTGGTAATTTGTTTGGTGTCTCACAAACCATTACCGATCGTAGTGAATGGTGTATGTGTTACACATACCTATCACGAGACGCAATGTTGACGTAGAGTGTGTTCGAAGCCGACAGACATCAGTTTATGAAATCACTAGCTTCCATCGAGTTCCATTGATAAGTGTGGACTCCTCGCTTGGGATAAATAGGATAACTACCGGGTAATATGGCCTCAAGCTGCTGACAGATGAATTCATACTTTATCTCCCTTTAAATCTTTAATTTAATTTCAACCTTACTTGTTTTTTTCGAACCATACTTTTTATGTTCACCTTTTCACACTAGTGGATGTTGACATTTCCCTATTTTTAGGATTGAGTGCTAAGAGCTGATGTCGAGAAATCTCACGCTGTAGACTGCGCTTGAAATAGGCCTGAAAGCTATCCTGCTACACTTGGTCTTTTATAAAAACATCTGACCAGTTTATCACTGATTTAACTGAGTATGGCAACCGTGATATGAGTGCTTACATTTTGGATCTCAAAGATTTGTTCAATTCTATAAATGGTACTAGTGATCAGACAATGTGCACGTTTACTATTACGTCAATCGTAATAAGAAGTGCCTATGACAACAAGCAAGATAGGTAGCTGGAAAATAGTGGTAACTGTGGCACTTATTTTTCTCAGCTGATAAAGCACCAAGACAACTAGACGCAGATAACTTCATGATTCATACGACACTATTCGCAATATATTCTTAGGATGTAAAGACCCTCATTACTTTCTAATCTTAACTTCCGACTCAATGAAAACCTATTACTAACTCGTACGTAGAGCCGAACTACTTTCATGCTTTATATAATATTCCAGCCATAGATTTTTGTACTCAACTTCTGTTCAAAACGAAATCGGCAAAACAGGACTAGTCTATTAATTACTGGCTGGAAGCTTTAGTCGATAAGCAACTGATGCAACTATTTCTGATGTTCTTTCGTCATATCAATAGTGCGAAAAAGCATACGATAAGGGGATTCAAGTGATTCTCAAGAAACACGAAATCGGGTTGAAGGAAGATTGAGATTTTCAGACTTGAAAGAGAAACTGGGAGCTGACAAAGATGAATATCGGCAAACATTCACCAAAACTAATAATAATTCTTTTAGTCAATAATGGTCAAGGTGGGACCTAGTCAGATCTGCATCATCCGAGTTACCGCCTCAAAGCGCACTTGGATTCTCTAATATAGAGGACGGTCGCTAAGTAGTGTAGTCCAAGCCGATCATGAAGATAATTTGGACCAACAAACCAGTGAAACATCATCGGTTGAAATGGTCATATATTAAATCTATGTATGATGATCGGTATCACGATTTACCATTTACTTTACTATCTAATCGGATATGTCGAGAAAGTTGACGAGTGAAGCATTTTTCAGCTACAACGTAGGACATATATGTATCGGTCCAAGTTGCCATACTTCATTAGCACAATAAGATGAACACCGAATTCATACAAGTAGTTACTTTAGTGGTAGTAATATATAAAAGGAAGATTGTGTATAAGGAGATAGTACAGGAAATAAAAATTAGTTCGTAGGAAGAAAGATATAAAGCAATTTTAATCTCACAGTTTAAGGGAAGATAGAGAGTACGTACACCTACGCCATTGTGATCGATTCTGAGCCATGTCACACAGTCTCCAACCACTGGTTACGATAGTCACGCGAACCTCATCCAAGTAATCTGCACCTATCAATATAACTATGACTAGAAATTATTGACTTCAAGGACTGATGCCACGTTTTAGTTTGGCAGCCCTGACTTCCGTCCAACTGTCTTCAACACTAGTCAGCATTGTGCAATGTCATAATCGGAGTTCAGGCATACGCAACACGTTGCCGAACCATCTCAGTTGATGAAGATTTGCAACCCCATCAACTGATTTACCATCATTCCCTGCGTCTAACCTCACTATTACTTATCCGGTGATCCCAGCAAATGCCAGTAATATTTCTAAGACAAATACTAGTAACTTACGACTTCTACACTTAATGACCACGTTTCGCAGCCGTAAAGTAGAACAGAACGAACTGCCGAGCAGTATACTCGTCCGTCTCTTGATAGACAGATATCTCGCCTTCGCCGTAGGTGACGTAAACTGGCGAAAGCTAGACGAATTTTTCGAATCGGTGCAGAGATTCCATCAGACCAGACTTCCAAGATAAGTGAAGTTGTCGACGCGTGCGACTACTTCACTCTCCATCCTTAGTCCAGGTGTTGACGCAGGCAACAATCTTCATTTGGAGGGGGAGAAACACATCCCAAACATCCTGGCATTGTTGCTCAATGCTACCGGGAAACTCTACCTTTCACCAGTTGTTCTTCCTCGTTTGAGATTAGCTACAGCCTTTCGAACTTCTGCTAGAGTCGCGGGACCTACTTCAACATTCCATTCAGGCTGTTTTGAAATTATGGGCAGTCGTAGAGTGGCTGAATGTCAGCTAAACTGCTCCTTGAAATATTTCGCTCATCGTTCTAAACGTCTGGGCTGAGAGTAGATACGCATGTCGTCTTTTCCTGAGACTTCTTAATTCCAGTTCCCTTATTAAGCTGAAGTGGAGTGTTTACGTCTAGAAGTTCTCGTTCCACCGAGTTGTAGACTACTGAAACACACTACTACACCACGAATCGTCTTTCACTGATACCTCTAACGTGAAATCAGGTCTCCAATAGACGTTGCATTATCGACATAAGATAACTGCCGTTTTGTTCATAAACTGAAATTGGCCGTGTGTTGGGAAAAATCACTTTAAGATTAAGGGTCTTAATTTTTTCTAAATTTGATCAAGTGCAAAAGGTGAAAAAACAGGTATGTGAATTTAAGGCAGGTAACATGTTTACTGGTACAATTAAACGTCCATATAAAACAAAGTAATTTAAGTGGTCAGATTTCACCATATACGTATGGTAAAATTTAACTATATGTATAAATAAAGTTCCAGTAGTTTTAATAAGGTAATTATCTCACACTAAAGCGAATGGAAAAGACACTAACTATGACCTTTTGATAGTGTATAAACATCTGTTAGCAGAACATGGTACTTCCTAGATGTCCATGCTAGGATAGCAGACCAGTGTAGGGACGACAACGACCATAAATCCGACCGAAAAGATGACATTTCTAAGATATATTAGTCTAATTGCTAACTTACGACGGTTTTTCATTTCATTGTATAAACTCCCCAGAAGCACCGCTAAAGAGAGAATTGACCCAACTATACCCAGCCACATGTACCGTCGAAGGATACATGGCCATACTCTCCAGTGTCCTCTGAGTAACTGTATGTCGACATATAGTCCAACAGACCCAAAGAGAACTGGAAATAAAAACGACAGAACTCACTTGAAAATGAACAACAAACTGCAGTCTCTACATCTCGCACTGTGATATAAAATATATTGAAGCATACTCCAACCAAGATACCAATAACCTGGTAAATTGATTTTATCTTTACATTTCTTTGGACATTAAACCCTAATGGTGAAGATAACATATGATGTTTGTAAATGACGACCTTGGTAAATGGTACCTGAAACTCAGCAGCCTACGAAGGACATTACGTTCGTTCTCAAGGTCGAACTCGCTGTTGGATGTTGAAGACACTACTATTTTACGGGTGATCTTATCCGCAACGCAACCATGTAAACTTAATGTATCGCACACTGTCATTTGTGCGTTCAAGTAACCACAGATTTCGTCATTTCATAATGTATTTTTAATTAAATAACCAAATTATGTAGTTAATTCTGCTCTGTTTTTAATTTTTATTCGCCACGTCTGACTGCGTTACACTGTACGTCCATTGCACGCTGGGATGATATCTCAAGTCATAGTGAGTTTATTCACATAGTTGATTGTTTCCAGATAGACTGTCAGTGCATGATTTTACTGAAGAAAGGTTTGTTGTACTGTAAACTATGTTTCTATGAACAACTGCCTGTTGTCTTCAGTATGAAAGCAGTATATATGTATCCTTTTTTTCTTAGGTAAGTTCAACTGGCCTATATTTCGTGTTTTGGTTTTATCGGCTTAATTATGTCCATTTAACTACTTTGAGCAACATGTCTTTGCAAGTGAAACTATAACTATGACACTTGCTTACGAAGTTAGGACCAAGAACAAAGGCAAGTTGGAGCTGACCATTCCACTTGTGGACTGTCTAAATGATAAAAAACGTGTAAATAACAGGGCCTACCACCTCGGCAAACCTCATATAGGTGGGCTATCTGTCCATTCACATAAGGTTCATACAGAAAAACAGGACGAAGCTCACGCGTTCCAAATTGAAAGCATAAACTGCTTACATATGAACGCCGCCAGTCTACCAAACAAACTGGATGAACTACGTGAACTTAGCAACGCTAATAAGGCCCATCTGATAGGAATATCTGAAACCTGGATATCTTCTCAGTTCTCGGACCAAGAGTTAGCATTACCTGGGATGACTTTGTTCCGCAACGACAGAAAAACAGGAATTGGGGGCGGAGTGGCCATATACATAAGCTCTTGCTTGGAGGTGCACCGAGTTCACAACCTCCAGTTTAACAATCTTGAGGAATCCATATGGTGCTCTGTAAGATTGTCTGCTACTTCGAGGTGTCTAGTCGGAGTCATTTACCGGAAGCCAACTGCCGACACCGAGTACGATAGTCGTATGCTGGAAGGGCTATCCCGCTCTACCCGTCTCGGTTTCACACACATCCTGATTCTAGGGGACTTTAATCTCCCTAGAGTCAACTTCGCGGAACACACGTACACTGGAGGCGACAACTCAACTGAAGCTCGGTTCTTCAACCTCATCGATGACTTGGGCTTATATGAAAATGTGAGGTTGGTAACTCGTTGGAGAAACAGTCAGACACCATCGCGCTTAGACTGCGTATTCACAAACGAAGAATTCCTAGTTGATAACCTCTCAATCCTGGCTCCCCTGAGAAAAAGCGATCACGTCGTTATGGCTTTCAGTTTTGTCAGCAAAACTAAGCTAAGGTATCCTACCAATAACTTGCGTTGAAATTTTAAACGGTTGAATGTGCCAGCTCTACGCGGCTATCTACAACAGGTGGTTTGGGATGTTCACCCTCAACTCGATGTGGATGGTCATTGGGACTTCTTACTGCACACGCTCCTATGTGCTACAGACCATTCAGTTCCTCAAATGGTTCCCAAAAGCTGCAAGCCACCTACAGTAATCAAGAACCGTACCCTTCGCCTGCTAAGCCGCAAAAGGCACTGTTGGGCAGAATACAAACGAACTAATAACGATGGAGCGTATAGGCAATATAAACATATCAGGAACATATGCACGAAGGCTATAAGAGAAGACAGGCTTCAGTACTAAACAAAGCTTATGGACAAATTCGCCTCTAATCCTAGAAGCCTATTCCGTTATGCAGCCTCTCTTCGTCAAGCCAAAACAGGAGTTTCTCAACTGCTAGGTCTTAACGGCCCGACCAACAACGATGGTGACGCCACTAACCGTCTGGCGGCACATTACTCTCAAACACTCCAACCGGCTGACATCAACTTTATTGACGACAGTTTCATCTGCAATTCCACAGGACTTTCCGAAGTGGACCTAAGCGCTGACTTGGTGTTCCGGAAATTGCAACATTTAAGACTAGACACTTCTCCTGGCCCGGATATGGTTCATCCTGCCATACTGAGGGAGGCAGCCTCAATCCTGGCAACGCCGCTTAGCGTGATGTTTTCACACTCGCTTAGCCGAGGCAAATTACCCGAAAATTGGAAGTTGGCTCACATCACACCAATTTTCAAAGGTGGTCGACGCAACGAACCTTCAAGTTTTCGGCCGGTGGCTCTTCTGTCATTGCTTTCAAAACTCATGGAGTCCCTGATATGTGATGGTATAAATGACTATCTACTGTCCTTAAATTTTTTCTCACCTCAACAGTATGGTTTCAGGAAGGGCTACTCTTGTATAACCAACCTGCTGACTGCGGTGGACAGATGGACAAGCATCCTCGATCGCAAGGGAAAGGTTGATGTCATTTACCTTGATTTCTCAAAAGCTTTTGATAAGGTTAACCACTTGTGTCTTATCAACAAGCTCAAACGACTAGGTATCAGACCTCCTCTAATCGATTGGCTTACTTCATACCTGAAAAATCGACACTCTTAGGTTAGGGTTAATTTCACTTTATCTCAGGCTATGGAATGTCCTAGTGGGGTCCCCCAGGGCTCAGTACTAGGGCCTCTTCTCTTCTTGATCTACATAAATGATCTTCCTCAACAGGTAACGTCAGACTTATTACTTTTTGCCGACGACGTGAAACTTTGGAGAGAGATACGCAAGCAAGACGATATACAGGCACTTCAGGAGGATCTGACTCGACTTCAAAGTTGGGCAGACGATAACGGACTTACCTTTAACACTTCAAAGTGTAAATTGGTCCATCTGCGACATGTCGCAGACTACAGTTACAACTTAGGAAACTCCTCTCTAGTAGTATCTTAAGTCGAAAAAGATTTAGAAGTCCTGGTGCCCCATGACTTAAAGTCTTACGCTAACTGTGACAAAAATGCCTTCCGAGCAAACCTTGCACTGGTAACGTTGAGGCGCATTTTTGGCCAGTTTGACGGACGAACTTTCCACACAATCTTCAATAGTTTCATCCGTCCGCATTTAGAGTACGGAAATATAGTACTCCCTCCCTCACTCCAAAAGGACAAAGTCACTTTGGAGCGTATCCAACGGCGAGCCACGAAATCAGTTCGAGGGCTCAAATCTAAACCTTACGAAGAACGCCTCCATTCACTAGACCTTTACCCACTAGAATATAGGCGTTTTAGAGGTGATTTATTAATGGCTTATAGTATTCTTAACACTTCTGGACATCCTCTTAAACACCTACTTAAGCTTAGTTCGAATAATAACCTAAGGGGTAACACCCAGAAACTGGAAACACAACATAGCAAGACGGAATGTAGACACAACTTCTACTCTTTAAGAGTTGTCAAAAGCTGGAATTCGCTGCCGGCCGAGCTAGTCCAAGCGACTTCTCAGGAGTCCTTCAAGAGGCAACTTGACCTATTCTTAAGAACCAAGGACAGCATCACACTATGATTTACCAATTTCTTTTCCTCTTTTATTGTTAACATACCTAGGTTCCTGCCTGGAGGATTTTGTGATCCCCTGCTACTAGACACGGAAGCCTGTTAAGCGAAAGCTTCTTCTATTCCGTCCACAACCATTTGAACCATTTGAACCATTTTAGTGTTCTTGGTTGTCGTATAATTCAGTTTAGTTGAAAGGATTATGATATACTTATGTATAGTGCTTGAAGCCTGTAACGAAACAGATCAGTTTAGTAAGTAAAGTTGCCTGTTTCTAATGTGTATACGGATTCAGATCAGTCTGATTAAAAATAGGAAAAAACGTGCCTTTGATGCTGTTGCTATCATGCATTATAAGATAGCGATAAGTATGTTTGGTGTTTATTTCTAAACTGTACATCTATCACTGACCATATTTCATGATCACTGTCATTAAACAATTTCCCCATCAATAACATCGGTAGCAAGATAGCTAATTGTCTGAGCTTTTAGTTGCCCGCAAAACAGCAGTATACAGTCCTAGAAGATGAGTGTTCTGTGTCTCAATTAAATTCAGCTGGCTGTGGACAAATGTTAAAAATCTTTTGGACAACTGAGACTTTTAGTTTACCATACACTTACTCTGCTTGTATGTTTTCCTGTTAAACTAGACGCAGATGCATGGGAATACTTAAATGGGAGCAAAATAATAAAAGCATTGTAATACGGTACTAAGCCCATGTTATGCTTTGCGCAAGTAATAGTAGCTGACCTTATCTAATATTCATGAACTCAAGGTAAATCACAACTGCATAAATTCTTTGCTAAAAAACATATGGTTTGGTTATTTATATATTCCACATTTCTGACTAAATTCATCACCATTTTTTCATTTAGAATGCAACAGGAGTGAGTCTTCACAGATCATAAAAACTGTTTCGCCCTTAGAACTATGGCCCTATGGAACTGTTTACGGGAGATCCAACGAACAGCAGATTATAAAAAGGATGCTGGACGTCCATTTTAGTCTCACAACCACTTCCAGTATCTTTTGAATTCTTTTACTCTTTCGTTTGGAAAAATACAACGAAAACTGCAGCTTAACATTACCAATACAACTTTTAAACGGGAACTTGGTCTAAACCTTTGTTTGCTATTCGATTCTTAATGAAGGTTCTTGAATAAATTTCTGAATCTAATGCTACTTTGTTTTATCTACTTAATCGTTGCAAGAAACTTGTGATGAGCGAGCCTCTCAGCACCTAGTTCATGTGTTCAAATGGTTGTGGACGGAATAGAAGAAGCTTTCGCTTAACAGGCTTCCGTGTCTAATAGCAGGGGATCACCAATACCTCAAAGCAGAAAACTAGGTATGTTAACAATAAAAGAGGAAAAGGGAATTGGTAAATCATAGTATGATACTATACTTAGTCCTTAAGAATAAACCCAGTTGCCTCTTAAAGGACTCCTGCGAAGTCGCTTGGACTAGCTCGGCCGGCAGAAAACCCCAGCATTTGACAACTCTTAAGGAGGAGTTGTGCCTACAGTCCGTTCTGCTATGTTGTGTCTCTAGTTTCTGGGTGTTACCCCTTAGGTTAGTGTTGG